TTTTCCCTAAGTTTTCTTCTAATAGTTTCTTAATTTCAGGTTTTATATTTAAAATTTTAATCCATTTTGAATTGATTTTTGTATATGGGAAGCGGGAGGGTTCTGGTCTTCTTCTTCTGCATGAGGATATCTAGTTTTCCCAGAACTGTTTATTGAAGAGACTATCTCTTTCTCAATGTGTTTTCTTGCACCTTTGTCAAAGATCATTTGGTTGTAGATGCGTGAATTTATTTCTGTTCCACTGGTCCATGTGTCTGTTTTTATGCCAGTACCATGCAGTTTGGGTTACTATAGCTTTGTAGTATAATTTGGAGTCAGCTAGTGTTATGCCTCTAGCTATGCTCATTTTTCTCAGGGTTGCTGTGGCTATTCAGGGTCGTTTGGTTCCATATAAATTTTAGTATTTTTTTATTTCAGTAAAGAATGTCATCCATATTTTGATAGGGATTGGATTAAGTCTGTAGATCACTTTGGGTAGAATGGCCATTTTAACAATATTAACTCTTCTAATCCATGAACATAGGATATCATTCCATTGATTTATGTCCTCTTCAATTTTTTTCTTCAAAGTTTTGTAGCTTTCATTGTAGAGTTCTTTCTCTTCCTTGGTTAAATATATCATAGGTATCATATTTTTTTATAACTATAACTATTGTAAAAAGAACTGTTTTCTTGATTTCTTTTTTAGGCACTTTACTGTCAGTATACATAAATGCTACTGACTTTAGTATGTTGATTTTGTATCCTGAAACTTTACTGAATTTGTTTATTAGTTATAACAGTTTTTTGGTGTATTCCTTAGTGTTTTCTATGTCTAATATCATGTCATCTGTAAACAGGGGCAGTTTGACTTCCTTATTTCCAATTTGGATGTCCTTTATTATTATTTTTTTCCTTCCCTAGCTGCTCTTGCTAAAACTTCCAGTACTCTGTCAAATATAAGTGTTAAAAGTGTGGATCCTTGTCTGGTTCCTGATCTAAGAAGAAAAGTTTTCACCTTTTCCCCATTCAGAATCATCTTAGCTGTTGGTTTCTCATACATGTCCTTTCTATTGTATTGAAGTGCATAACTTCTATACCTACATTGTTAACAGTTTTTATCATAAAGAAATCTTGAATTTTGTCAAATGCTTTTCTGTATCAATTTATTTTATATGGGTTATGAATATTCATGAGATACAAAGCTGATTGTCACCCCTCATGCCCAAGACGTGAGACCAGATCCATACTTGCAGCATGCCCATTGCCACAAATTGCTATTATACCACATGTCCCCTCCGCAATTATGTCTGCGTCCGTCCCCATCCCCACTCCACTTTGTATCTCTACATATGTTCTCTCCCTCTGCAATTTCAACACACCACTGTGGTCTTTCTTTCCTTCCTTCTTTCTCTCTTAGCTCCCACATATGAGTGAGTACATGTGGTATTTATCCCTCTGTGCTTTGCTTATTTAACTCAACATAAGTTTCTCTGGCTCATCCATGTTGCAGTGAATGGGAGAATTTTATTCTTCTTCATGGCAGAATAGTATTCCATGGTGTATATATACCACAGGTTCCTTATCGAGTCATCCATCCATGGACATTTACATTGGTTCCATGTCTTAGCTATTGAAAACAGAGCTGTGATGAACCTGGGAGTGCAAGTAGCCCTTCAACATGGTGATTTCCATCCCACTGGGTATATACCCTGAAGTGGGATTGCTGGGTCATATGGAAAAATCTATCTGCAGCTGTCTATAAAAACTCCATACTCTTTTCCATTGTGGTTGTACTAATTTACAGTCCAGTCCCACCAGCAATGCAGGAGCATTCCCTACTCTCCACACCCTCACAAGCATTTGTTATTCACCGTCTTTTTGATTATAGCCAGTCTAACTGGGGTGAGGTGGTATCTCAATGTAGTTTTAATTTTCATTTCCCTGATGACTGGTGATGTTGAGCATTTTTTCACGTACCTCTTGGCCATTTGTATGTCTTCCTTTGAAAAATGTCTAATCAGCTTCTTTGCCCATTTTTTAATTGGATTGTTTTTTTTACTGTGTAATTGCTTAAGTTCCTTGTATATTATGGATATTAATCCCTTGTCAGATGCACAGTTAGCAAAAATTTTCTCCCACTCTGTAGGTTGTCATTTCACTCTGTCGATTGTTTCCTTTGCTGTGCAGAAGCTTTTTAGTTTGATATAGTCCCATTTGTTTATTTTTTCTTATTTCAAGTAAAGGTTAATGTACAACGACTTGAAGGGGAAAATACAACCCATGGTTAAGAGCTCTACCTCCCAATCCCTCTTCATCTCAAATGAAGACAGCCTCACAAGGATGGTTTAGCATGTAAGACACGAGTCCCAACTGGTCAGAAGTGCCCTGAGTCACCTCCGGCTCACCAGATTGTCACTGATAACACTTTTGCTTTCCCCTTCAATAATATTATGGTTCAGTATAGAATTCGCTACTAACAATTCATTCCTTAGGTAGTTTTCCAATATCTTTTGACATCTATGTTTGCTTTGGGAAATCCAGTTCAAATGAGCTTGTAATTCTATTGAGGGTAACAGGCATTTTCTGTTGTAAGTAGTTTTAGTACTTTTTTTTTGAAGATGCCAAGCCAGCTGCCATTTTATATTTTTTAATTGAGGTGAAATTCACAGATAATACAATTAACTATTTTTAAATGTATTATTCAGCATATGGTGTGTGTGTGTATGTGTATGTGTGTGTCTGTGTGTGTGTGTCTGTGTGTGTGTGTGTCTGTATCAATTTACTCTGGATTTTCTTTCTTTATTTATAAATGGTCAGGATATGGAAACATTTTTAAATGCACGCACCCTAGTACTTAGTTGATCTTTCTTCATCTCTGTTAAGTGAGTAACTATCTCTTGGGCTGTTAGCAGACATCGTTCACACTTCTTTCCTTCTGACACATACAATAGTGATGCTATTGTCCCTCCTCTTCCTATTTGCCCAAGTACATTAAATTTCTGTTTGTGGTCTCACTGTTCTTCCGCATTCTGAAAAATGTCCTCAATAATGTACTCCAATTTTATAATTGACAGATCCGCCTTGTCCTTGATGAAATGAATATTTTAATTGTATTCATTCAATTGAATTTTTACATTTATGATTTCTAACTCATTTCTATAATTGTCAATTCTCCTAAAGTATAATTCCTATTCTTGTCTAAACTATTCAGTTTCTTCCTCTTTTTCTCAGATATTTAAACACATTCTTATTTCAAAATGAGTCTCATATGTTCCAGGTATTCTATTTACTTGGATATGATAATGTCCAATTATTGTTTGTAGATGGTCATTCGTAGCACAGTTTATCTTTTTACATATTACTCTGTGTTTTCCATGACTGTTGGACTGCTCACCTACTATGTACCTCATCCTTCAAGGAGTATTACATGGCTGCCCTATGAGTGAGGCTTGATGAAGGGGGATTGTTATAGCTGCTCCTGCCCTATGGTGTCCACTCTCCCAAATTTAGTGTCTTCCCAGGGTTGTTCCCTGCGGGGATGCATCCAATGCAAGCCTCACACTCACACCTGGTGCAGACGCCCATGTCTGAAAATGCTACAGTGAATGTGTCTCACACGCACACACACAGGGGAGGTGACTTCACCCCATAGCCCTGACCACACCCCTGTGTATAAGGACACTAGGGTTCCTCTTCTGTCCCACACAGAGGTGGAAACCTCCTCCTGAATGACCAGTGACGGCCTCAGACACCAATAGCCACTTAACTTTGGCTTCTGCTTTTTCTTGTGGTTGCCTGCCTATTTCACAAATGTTTGTTTCTCTCTTCCTGCCTAGGATGATGGCTCCCTATTTCAGAACACTGAAAGTAGTATTTTGCAGTGTTTGGAGCAGATGGGGGCTCCTAAATGGTTAAATCAATCCTTCGCCTTGACTGTAGAGTTTCACACAAGGATCTCCTCATGTCCTGACCCCTCATGTCATAACCTGGTCTGAAAATTACCCATGATTAAGCCCCTTTTATTTCCCAGGCACCACTGACACCCACAATCCCTCTGAGGACTGGGGTTCACGACAAATGCTCCAAATGAGCAAACTGAGGCTCAGAGAAGGGACATGAGTGTTTAGAGTCAAACAGGCAGTTTTATATGATAGCCACAAATTAAATAAAATTCAGCTTCCCTGTCCCCACCCCACAAATCAGAGCCTGAATGCCAGTAATTGTTCCCTATATATCAAACAAAAGGAAACCAGATGGAGTACAAAGAAATGCTCAAACATCAGGGGCACTGGAGAGGCTGGAATTATTAAGAGATTTGTTCCCAGATACATAATGGTAGATACTATTGAGAAGACAAAAAAAGACATCACAATGAAGACGAATATTTGTTAGAAGAAAACCCACACTAAACTAACGGGAGAAGAGTGGTGTTTTCTTCCCTTATTTCCCTTTATTTCTCCTCTGTGCCCTTTGCCACAGTGCCTCTCAACTTGAACTGCACAGATATTCAGTGTGTCTCTGCTGATCTGAGTCTGCCGTGCAGCGTGAACCTGCATCTTCCCTGAAGCATCTCCAGGGCTGGTGAGACGACTGGCCATGGTTAGGGCCCCACAGCCATGTGATGACGGACGGGCTGAAAGAGTGAGGGAGACCCTATGCGGAGGCTCTGAGAGGGAAGGGGAAGCCCTCAGTCACCCTCACATGGAAGGGACAGACTCAGGAAGGCACCGGCTCTACTTGCTGAAATGTCCTCGCCCTAAGTGAGATGAGGACAGGTCAGGCAGAGTCTGGTGGTCAGGAGAGACCCCATCTACATCTGAAATGTCTGCAGGGAGCCTGGTTCCTGTCCTGGCCCCAGGCCTGGTGAAACCAAAGCCAGGCTTCTGGGGAGGGCAGTTTCTCTTCCTGTGGGGCTCCTTATCAGACAACCTCATGACAAAAAAGCCCAGCTCCCAAACATCCACACCCTGTGTGTCTGTCTGTCCTGTCCGGCACTGTGGTCTCTTCCATCTGCTCAGCTGGGGCCAGTGGGAGGAGGCACCATGACCCCCATCCTCACAGCCCTGCTCTGCCTTGGTGAGATTTGAAGAGGGGGAGGGGAGACCTTAGGCTGGAAGGGACCCCACCCCACAGCCAAGCCCTTGTGCATTAGGAGACCCCAGGGGATCAGCAGGCTCATCAGAGGAGAGGATCTGCTCACCTCTCAGGTGACGAGTCTCTCACAGTGAACTCTTTTCTAGGTCTGAGTCTGGGTGCCAGGACCCAAATGCAAGCAGGTGAGTCCCAGGTTCAACCTCCTCACTAGGGACAGGGGGCCACCTCAGGGCTGCTGGGTGTGGAGGACAGCAGTTCTGGGCTGACTGATGGAGCCGTCTGGGAGGGTCATGGAGATGAGAGTGGAGAGATAAGGGGCGGCGATTGTCCTGGGACCCAACCTGTGCTTTCCTTCCAGAGACCCTCTCAAAACCCACCATCTGGGCTGACCCAGGCTCTGTGATCACCTTGGGGAGCCCCGTGACCATCTGCTGTCAGGGGACCCTGGAGGCCCAGGAGTACCACCTGTATAAAGAGGGAAGATCATTTCCCCGGGACACACAGAGATCACCGGAGCCCAGGAACAAGGCCAAGTTCTCCATCCCATCCATGACACAGCACTATGCAGGGCGATATCAATGTTACTATCACAGCCCTGCTGGCTGGTCAGAGTCCAGTGACACCCTGGAGCTGGTGGTGACAGGTGAGAGGACACTCATGGGTCACAGCCCCAGGCTTTGCCCNTTGAACTGCACAGATATTCAGTGTGTCTCTGCTGATCTGAGTCTGCCGTGCAGCGTGAACCAGCATCTTCCCTGAAGCATCTCCAGGGCTGGTGAGACAACTGGCCATGGTTAGGGCCCCACAGCCATGTGATGACGGACGGGTTGAAAGAGTGAGGGACACCCCATGGGGAGGCTCTGAGAGAGAAAGGGAAGCCCTCAGTCACCCTCACATGGAAGGGACAGACTCAGGAAGGCACCGGCTCTACTTGCTGAAATGTCTTCGCCCTAAGTGAGATGAGGACAGGTCAGGCAGAGTCTGGTGGTCAGGAGAGACCCCATTTACATCTGAAATGTCTGCAGGGAGCCTGGTTCCTGTCCTGGCCCCAGCCCGGGTGAAACCAAAGCCAGGCTTCTGGGGAGGGCAGTTCCTCTTCCTGTGGGGTTCCTTATCAGACAACCTCATGACAAAAAAACCCAGCTCCCAAACACCCACACCCTGTGGGTCTGTCTGACCTGCCAGGCACTGTGGTCTCATCCATCTGCTCAGATGGAGTAGGCACCATGACCGCCATCCTCAGAGCCCTGCTCTGCCTTGGTGAGATTTGAAGAGGCGGAGGGGAGACCTTAGGCTGGAAGGGACCCCACCCCACAGCCAAGCCCTCGTGCATTAGGAGACCCCAGGGGATCAGCAGGCTCATCAGGGGAGAGGATCTACTCACGTCTCAGGTGACAAGTCTTTCACAGTGAACTCTTTTCCAGGTCTGAGTCTGGGTGCCAGGTCCCAAAAACAGGCAGGTGAGTCCCAGGTTCAACCTCCTCACTAGGGACAGGGGACCACCTCAGGGCTGCTGGGTGTGGAGGACAGCAGTTCTGGGCTGACGGAGGGAGCCGTCTGGGAGGGTCATGGGGATGATAGGGGAGATCCAAGGGGTGGGGAATGTCTTGGGAACCAACCTGTGCTTTCCTTCCAGAGACCTTCTCAAAACCCAAAATCTGGGCTGACCCAGGCTCTGTGATCACCTCGGGGAGCCCCGTGACCATCTGGTGTCAGGGGACCCTGGAGGCCAAGGAGTACCACGTGTATAAAAAGGGAAGATCAGTACCCTGGGACATACAGAGCCCACTGGAGCCCAGGAACAAGGCCAAGTTCTCTATCCCATCCATGAC